GAGAGAGAGAGAGAGAGAGAGAGAGATAGAGAGTGTGTGTGTACGAGTGATTTTTTAGTATTTGGAAGAGATACATTTCAACAAACAATCACAGTGTACTGTCCATGTCCACAGATGGCAGGTCAGTGTTTCCAAAAAATCATTTTTTTGAACACACACTCTCTCTCTCTCTGTCACCCTCCCTCTCTCACCCTCTCTCTCTCTCTCATGCCTCAGTTGTCGTTCTCTCAAAACCCAATTTGCTTCAGAATCTGAAGACTTGTGTCATGGCGCGGCGCCGCGGTCACGTGACCGTCATGAGTGGAATCCCTCATGACGGTCGTCGTCAAAACGATCAGCCGTCGCTGGACGACGCGCTGCGTTTCTAAGTACTTCCTGTGACACGAACGCAGTAACACGGTTCATTTCACTGGAGTAACGTTAGCGTAGCCTCGTTAGCCACAGTGGGCGTGAACACTTTACGGCTGTAAACGGTGTAGAAGGAGGTTGAAGTTCAGAGTCAGAGAAGTACCTGATACTACAGTACCTGATACTACAGTACCTGATACTACAGTACCTCACAGTACTCCAGTCGGTGAGTCATATACTGTATCTATGGTTGTATTTCTACAGGACCAGACTGGTCAGACCTGGTCAGCAGTTTGGTCGTGTGAGGTCGTACCTGAGACGTTGTCTATGTTTGAAAAAGACAGGGAGGAGCAGAGAACCCAAAGAACACCGGCCTCGTGGTGAATAAAAACCACCAGTTCTAGGAACCTGGTGAGGGTCACAGTGACTTGAGTTGACTGGACTGACCTGTAGGGGGCACCGGCTTGAATTCTGCAGAACGCGTGTGGAGTGAACTGAAGACGAGGGTCCGTGTGAGACGACCTTTGACCTGAGAAGAAGAAGTGAAAAATAAAAACGAGGTTTTAGAGGCTGACGCTTGAAGACAGATTCAAATACAAACGATAAAAATGTTATAAAATAAAGTTGAAGTTGTTTTATATGTTGTGTCTGGACAGCAGTGGGCAGTAACTGCCTGGGGGCCGGAGCCACAGGGGGGCGCTACAGCAGTTTGGGTGAGATGTGAAATGCGGAAAAAAAGGCGGGAAAATTGGTTTGGGTTTGTTTGAGTGAGATGACGTCAGGTTTGGATTTTCATGGACGTCGAAAGTTTTTCCATTTTTATAAATAAGTGTTTAATGTTGGCGCTCCGACTCCCGACGTTCCAGATTCAAATTCTAAAAAGAAAAGATACTGATGATGAAGCTGCCGCCCTGCAACATGTTTGGCAGCCATTTTGGAGAACGAAGCCCTTTGTGACTCGAATCCAGAAAGTCACGGTGTTGCCGACGGTCAGGGTCTTGTTGACGGTCACGGTGTTGCCGACGATCAGGGTGTTGTCGACGGTCACGGTGTTGCCGACGGTCACGGTGTTGCCGACAGTCACGATATTGTCGACGGTCACGGTGTTGTCGACGGTCGCGGTGTTGTCGACGTTCACGGCGTTGTCGACGGTCACGGTGTTGTCGACGGTCACGGCGTTGCCGACGGTCGTTTCTTCTTCTTCTCATTGTATTTTTTATGATCAGTTTTTTTTGGGACCCCCAGTGGAGACTCGGTGCAGTTGCACATCACGTCT